TGACTGGTACCATCAAAACGATATCGCAATAAACATGATGCTGGAGGATTGCGAAGTGAAAGCGATCAGATCTGACTGCCGGTTGGTGCCAAACCATTGCTCCAATCGCATTCTCTGATCAGCTTAATGATGAAGCCAATTTATATTTGCTATAGCAATACACGACTAAATTATTATTTGATGTATTCACCCTATTTCCTTTTAGGTGATGAAGGACTGGTAGTACAATTTTCCCACAATGACTTGAGTTGAGCTGACGTTTCCATAGAATTTCACAAAAACTTGCTGTCCCAAAAGTATTTCTCATTCATGCACCAGTGGACTGCAGTTTCGACTTCGCATCGGTCTTTTCAACACCCCCATCGGGACTCGAACCCTGACAGTGCAGAATGTGAGCTTGACAAGTTAACCACTCGGACACATTGCCACGAGTGGCCTTGGGTCACAGGGCAGATGCGAATTTCGAGGAAGGTCAAGCCTTTTGCCATATCACATTCTTTGGTGGGATTGTCGATGAAGCAAACATATATTTGCAATAATAATCGACTACGTTACTTATTTTGTATTTAAGTAGAGTGTCTAGACAACCATTAAATCGGTCACATGAGATGTAACACCCAATTCCGTTTGAAGTGATGAAGGACTGGTGGAAGAAGAATTTTCCCACAATCATATGAGTTGAGCTGACGTTTCAATTGCATTTCATAGAGCCTTGCTTTCCAAAATTTGTTCTTATCTCGGACCCAGTGAACTGCAGTTTCGACCTCGCACCGCTGAGGGTGTTGATAAGACCGATGCGAGGTCGAAATTGCAGTCCACTCCAGCCGGGATGGGAACAACTTTTGGGAAAGCAAGGTTATGTGAAATTGAACGGAAACGTCAACTCAACTCATATGATTGTGGGAAAATTCTTCTTCTACCATTCGTTCATCAATTTAAACGAAATTGGGTCAACTCACGTCATACTACTGATTTACTGGTAGTCACGAAAACAATACTTAATGAAAAAAATACTTATTCATTGTTTTGGACTGGTTCCGAGACTGCCAGTAGATCGTTTTGTTTGAGATGAAGCACGTGATATTGAAAATGTGCAGGCTGTCTTTAAAATGCACATCAGCCGTCTGAACCAAAGACAATCTGGCGGAATGGTTGCCAGGTGGGACCGAGTCCCGCAGGAGACTCTGATGAAAGAAATTAGGGTGAAAACGAAAACGCAGTCCGCCCTTGCCTTAATGAGAATAACTTTAAAAAAGAAAGCCCATTTGCAGTTGAATGAAAGCATGATGTCTACTCTTCAGTTTATGGCAACATTCAACAACCTGACCTATACTACTTTAACGAAATAGAGTAGTTAGATATAAAAATATTATCTATTGGTGGTCTAGGACGTCTAATTGTGAATAAAACTACTTGTTTCTGTTGGATTGAATGCGAGATGGAGATAGAGACGATATGATTTTTTGCAGAGCAGGAGGATGGGAGGAGGAGGAGGCTTGATTGGTCTACAATCCGTTATTGACATTCACACCTTACGCAGCACACAGCATGCGTGCAATGGAATGCAATCACACTCGTCGTGATTGCGTAATCAACAAATACATAAAAGTGATTTGTGAGAAAAAGCAGCTGTTCGTGTACTACAGGCGCCCTCTACGGCCACTTCAATTTCCCTCAAGCATGTGGCAAAAGTATAGGATTCCCAACAAAAGTATGCGATGCCTTGTTGAATAGAAAAAAGTGATGCTTTCACAAGCAGACGATCTTCATCACATGACGACTGGAGCTCAGCACGAGGGTGTATTCGCACAAACATGCAATCATCGCTCCAAGCACATCGCCCCTTCGCCGCTTCAAATCGAACCAAACCCACCGCAACGTCAGTCTTCCAAGGCAGTCCACGGAAGCGAGTTTTGTCACATGTCACTGATTCTGGAGCTGTTTTCTCATTCTCAAATAAAGTTGACCATGCGATGTCTTTGGGCCTTGCAAAACGTCTCTCATCATCACTCCGAACGGGACTCAAGCTCAGGACGTGCACGGCTTGGTGGCACTTCAACATACAATACAATACAACATACACACACACGCAAACAAACAGTTGTCACTTTGTGACAGGACAGGTTGGACTTTCTGGGCAAGCCAAGTCTCTTCCAAAGAATACATTCAAAGAAGGCTCCGTCTGTCCGTCCACTCGGAGGAGTCGCTGATGTCCGCTGTGAGTATGCTTCTAAGGTTGCAGTTATTCTGGAAAAAAGAACTTGTCCTTCAGGCAGAATATCATTTCGAGTAAAAGTGCACGACAAAGAGCTTTACAGTTGGCTTCGATGCAACATTCATTGAATCGGCCCACCACATCTCCTGCCTGGTTTCGGGCAAA